AAAGTCTTTGCCAGTTCACGCTCCCATATCCCGGTTTTCATTTCATTTCTAGTTGTGGAATTGCTGGATTTTTATTTTATTTTAGCTTTAAAGCAGACAGTAAAATTCCACATTGTTTAATACAAGCATTTGCCGGTTCTTAAGGGTCTGTCTCTACCTCTAAAGGGTGAGTTTGCTGACCATGACGTTGGGCCAGGTCACATTTACAAGGGCCTCAAATTTAAACTTTTGAGGCCATCTTCAAATAGAATTTGGAGGCCCGAAGGAAGAAAACATCAAAAAACTTTAAAATTGCATCTACTTCCCAGACCACGCCACCTCAAGGTGGTGTGAGTATTTGTATAAATCCTGTAATTATCCTTTAAGGAACAACATATGGGATTTCTGTGTCCAAATTAAAAGCTCGAATGTGTTAAATGCATATTTAAAATATACCAGAGTTCTGTAACTCTAGCTTTTCGTCACTTTTCAATCCAGCACTAGGGCTCAGAAAATGTAAGCGGTCCCTCAGGTCTCTGAGAGGAAAAAGTCTGCCTTGGCTCTATTTTATCCCCATAAGAGCGAATGAACCGAAAAGAAGCTGAGGGCGGCGGAGAACCAAGTGCAACCTCACCCGGCGGCCCACGGCTGCCACTTCTCAGGGCTCCAGCCACTTTCCCACGACGCCAAGCAACCGTTACCTTGACAATGTGATCTCCTCAGGCACCACGGAGGGTGGCGCCCCTCTGCATCCCAGAAGGTACTGCGCTGTTTCCAAGCCTTCCGCCCCTCTCCATCCCAACATGCAACGGGGCTCACATTGTCAAGCAATCGTCATCAGGGTGATTACAGAAATGCCTGTATAGCCACATTGTTTAAACATTTAAACTGTGCGTAATATATTGACGTGTGGAAAAAATATAGAAAGAGCGGTCGAAGTGTTTTTTTATTTAGAGTTGTATATCTAGAGGAGGAAATACCTATCTTTCCCTCGACTTGCACAGGCACGTCATTGGGCAGCCCGCGCAAAGCGGCGGCGTGGGGTCCTCAGGGCCCTTGTCAAGGCGCACGAGGGAGGAAGTGGCGCCGTCGGCTCTTAGCTGGTAGGCTCTTCGGCGTCGAGCCATGGGAGGCCTAGAGAAGAAGAAGGTGAGTGGAAGAGACGCCGGGGATTCTCGGAGGGTGGGAGGTGGGGATGGCGGAGCCTGGGATCGGCTCTTCTCTGGCCTTGGCTCCTTGGGGGGACAGAAACGACGGGATCAAAGCGACAGGAGTCAGCCGCGAGCAGTCCGAGAAATGGGCAAGGGCAGCAGCACTCGTCCAATGAAATCCGGGAAAGAACTCTGGAGTTCTTTCTATGGAAAGAACTGTGAGGGAGAGTTGAGCCTAGGAAGCATAGCCTTATCCCCAAAGCAGGCAGAACTGTGGGACAACAGTTTACTGAAAGGATGGTGAACATTAGGTAAAGTTCATCGCTACAACACCATCACATTATTGTTGTCTTGGAAGTTCTGTTCGAGGCCGTAACTTGGGAGAGCTTAGCAAGCAAGCCTGGCAGGGGAAACTAAATGCCAAGACCTACCAGACAGGATAAGTTTGCTGTGTGAAAGGAATTGAAAGGACATCAGAATGGCTGGGATGTAGTAAACCAGAGGAGGAATGGCATCGGATGAGGTTGGGGGTTGGGCAGGGACTGAATGATTCAGGGCCTGGAAGCTGTGGTGAGGAACTTGGATGTTATTCTAAGTGCAGATGGAATCAGTCAGATGGAGAGTAACGTGGCCAGAGTTTTTTGGGGAGTTGTTCACCTTGGCGGCCTGAAAAAAGATTGGGAAAGGGATGGGGATGAGGAAGATGTCATTGGCCCAGGTGTTTCTTTCAGCTTGAAAGTTTCTATTGCCAATTTGTTTCTAACCCAGTACACTGTTGCATATGCAGTAAGTGCTAGCTGTTGGAGCTACAAAGGTATAACATGGAAAGTCTGCCCTTGAGGTGCAGATGCAAATATGTCAACAAATCATTACAGTTTTTAAAAGCTAAGTTTCATAACCATTGTGCTCTTTGGGCCAGATAATTCTT